TACAATAAAAAGGGCTCTTCAGATTCTCACTGGGTTCCTCCACCTCACAGTGGTTTTCAACCTGTGGGTCGCGACCCCTTTGGCGGTCGAACGACCCTTTCACAGGGTCACCTAAGACCATCCTACATATCAGATATTTACATTACAATTCATAACAGTAGCAACATTACAGTTTTGAAGTAGCAACGAAAATAATTTTATGGTTGGGTTACAACATGAGGAACTGTATTTAAAGGGCCAGAAGGTTGAGAACCACTGTCTTAGGATCTCTTGCTGCTATCCTTTTACTGCTCATCCTTGGGCCCTGCCTCCTGAACTGTCTGATTTGTCTCTGAAAGAGTTGAGGCAAACTATAGATGATAATAACTCAGGGATTGGTGGGGCTACAGCCAGGAAATATTAGACCTACTTGAAGCTAGCTAGGAGAAGGTTTCACTTCTTTAACAGGACCCTGACAACAACAACTCTTTTATGAGAGAAGACAGATCTTCGACTCTCGATATCCTTCAAGAATGTGAGGGAAAACAGAAAAGGGGAAAATTTGTTATCCCACAATAGGCCTATGTGGCCTGGCTAAAACTCCTGTCTTTCCTTAACTGTTCATCTCTGAGAGACAAGATGGCCTACAATTAGTAGCTTTCTCCCAAGAATGAGCCAGTTAAAAGTGGCTAAGACCAGATGGCCACCAAATTGAACTCCATACAACTTCAAACCTCATTATATAATGAGGACATCTCTGCAGGACATCTCTGAACTACCTCTGCACTTGTAGATTGATCTGCTGAGTTTGGCGCCTGAGAGGGAGCTGAGAAAGTTCTACCAGGAATGGAGTTACCGTGAGGCTAATGAAACTTAAACTCTGGGTTCCACATTGGCCTGGGCTTCTCGCAGATGCTGGGAGTCTCAGGTATGGAAAGGAAGCAGGTTGTAGTCAGGAAGGATTTCTTAGTAAGCATTTCAGGTCATGTGATCTCAGAGAAAGGAACTTAAATCTCTAAGTCTCCAACATTTTATGGTGATTTCTTTTCACATTAGAAATAAATATTTAATTTTGCATTCCTAATTTTGTATTCTTATTCTTAGAGAGGATCACCCAAATTCTATGTGCTTTAGGCCACACAAAATCTGGATCTGCTACTGGGATTTAATAAATGAGCTGCCTGGGTGTTTTGCTAGTATGTGTTTTCCTACATTTAGTAACACACAATTTATATGAGTGAACAAACACGAAGAAGAATCTAGAGAATCCCAAATAATTCTGAAATCAATGCTTTGATGACTCTTTTCTGAGAGAACTGGAACTTCCTGGCAGGCGATATATTTCCATGTTAGTATTAATAAATGCTATGAAACTGGAACTCGGATACTGATGTCAGTTCAGTTCAAGAAGGCAAGCCTTTGTGGAATGTCTACTGTGTGGGAGGGATTTAGGGCCAGGCTCTTTTTTTGATAGTATAATTTATTTTAAGAGTGATTTGAAATTAATTGCCTTATTGTCTTAACAGTGAAGTGTTTTTAGTTCCTTGGAGTCTTAATAACAGTTCTCTTTTAAGAAATCGGAGCCAACGTGATAAATATAATTAAATACCAAGGAATAACAATGATAAATTGTTGGAACCAGTCATTTGATGTTCTCTGAAACAGACTTGTCAGTCTGCCTGTCTTAGGAGTTTCATTGCAGAGGAAATAAAATGAAAACTATCCTTTTTCTTCGTTTATAGATGGTTTCATAGATTGTTGTCATGGGTAACTTTGAGGTAACTATTTTCCCACCAAGAAACTCTATATTGAAAATGAACTATTTTATGTTCATCATCTTGTCATTCTCTTAAATGTATCATTAAATAAGTATCAAGTACTTGCATTTGAGAAATGTCATTGATTTCCTAAAAGACAAGTCAATATTAATGTCAGATACTGTAAAGTTTCACAGACAAACAAAGTCAGAGGAGGAGAGATTGATGTGTGTGTGTGTGGTGGGGAGGGGGTCTGTGTTAGAAAGGCAGTACTGTCTTCCTAGCTAGACCTTGAGTGTGCTGAGCATACCCCCTTCTTAGGGCCTCTGCACTTGCTGTCACTTCTGCCTAGCACGCTGTCCTTCAGAAAACTGCATCAGCTATTTTCTTACTTCACTCAGGGCTCTGACCACCCTGTCTATGGAAGCACCTTCTGCCATTCCATTTCCTCCCTGCTCTTCAGGGATTCATCTCCATCTGACATTAGGAACTGAGGAAATTCAAAGAAATTCTTTGATAAATCCTTTGCCATCTGAAGTCTTACTACTTGCTTTTTGAAATTCAGGAATTGAAAAGATTTCTAAATAATTCTTTCTATTTGATCTGGATATTCAAATCAGGAACCAAATAATTTTGTATAGTAAAGGATATTTGTTGTTTTCTTCATAGTACTTTTTACTCTCTGATTTGTCTGTTTGTCTGTCTCCCTCACTAAAATGTTAGTTTCATGGTGGGTGGGACTTTGTTTTGTTCACTGCTCTATCCCCATCACCTGGAACAGTGCTTGACACCTAATCAAGTCTCAATAAATATGTGTTGAATAAATGTATTACTACATGAATGAGTCCATTTGAACCAATATCATCTGAACTCTAATTTTAGAAAATATATGATTGTATGTAAAAGGCTTATTTCACATTATTAAATTTTAAGAAGCAAGATGTGGGGTTATATGCATAGTATGATTTCCATTTAAAAAATTCTTGAAACTTTGCATGTGTTCATTTATTCATTCATTTCTTTTTTAAAATTCAGAGAAGAAGGGAGCGGGAGGGAGAGAAGAAACGTCAATGATGAGAGAAAATAATTTATTGGCTGCCTCCTGCACGCCCACTACTGGGATTGAGCCCGAAACCCAGGCATGTGCTCTTGCCTGGAATTGAACCCGGCACCCTTCAGTCCATCGGCCGATGCTCTATTCACTGAGCCGAACCGGCCAGGGCTATTCATTCATTTCTTGAAAGAAAAGTTATTAAATATCTCCAGTGTGTCCATTCTGTGCTGGGCATTCTAACTCAGCTACAGTTTCATGAGAATACAGATCATGAAACAACATGAAATGAACTCCACCCTTTCCCTCATCACTACTCTCTAGCTATGTTGATCTTCATTCAGTTATTCACATTTATTAATCTTTTAACATTGCATAGGTTATTCTCCCCCTCCCCCTATTGATTTTTTAGAGAGAGTGGATGGGAGGGAGAGAAATATTGATGTGAGAGACACATCGATTGGTTGCCACCCACATGCCCTCTGACCAGGGCCAGGGATCGAACTTGCAACCCAGGTACGTGCCCTTGACCTGGAATCAAACTTCTAACCCTTCGGTTATTTTGTTATATGCTTAATATGTGTCTATATATTATAAATTCTGTGAGGTTAGGGACCATAATACCATTTAATTATCAATACCATTAGCTTAATGCTTAATATATAGTAGGTATTCAATAAACATTTGTTGAATGAATGAATGAATGAGAGAAGTACACACTAGGAATACCATATCTAATCTAATGGAAGTTAGGGGAAGTAAATTTCAAGGTGGGATCTGAAGAATGAGGAGGAATTAGCAAGTAAAGAAACCAAGCAGCGTGTTCTGGAGCTTAAGCTCTGACTTTATCCTAAAAGCAATAGAAGAGTTTTAAACCAAGAAGTGACACTATCAGACTTGCATTTTAGATGGACCATTTCTCATTGTTGTTAGGAACAGACTGGAGCAGAGAGATTGGTTCAGAGGCTTTAGTGGTAGATGGTTGTGGCCTCCACTGGGTTCTTGGCCATAGGGAAGAGAGGAGTAGGTGACTGAGATAGTGAGGGAAAGGAAGGAGTTAAGTATGATTCCAAACTTCTGCCTTAGGCAACTGAGAGGGTCCTAGGGCTCAGCATTCACTGGAACTCAGAGGGAGAAACCATCTTAGGAGAAGACAGCCTGAGACCTGTCTATATTGAAGCTGAACATTAAGGACTTGGTTTTATAGCTGACTTTTCTAGATATAGGAATGCTGGGGTCCAGGCCCAGTGGTCCAGGGGTTCCCAGAGGTGTGGACGAAGTCGATGAAGAATGTTTTACATGGAGACAGCGTTCAGAACTCTCTAGCTCTTTTTAGTCTCTGTGGATCTTCCTGTGCCTGGCTGAGGCCACAGAGAAAGATCCTGAGGCAAGCTGAGCCTTTATTTTATAGTCAGAGGTAAACAAGGTAGTGGTTACCGAAGTTACACTGTTCTTGTGAGTTTCACTTGTTTTTGTTCTTGTTGCACTTCCCTCAGCCCATTAGCTTCTCAGGCAAGATCTAGGGAGCATCATAATGTCAAGCCTAATTATGCTTAAGAGGACTGTGACCTCTAAGCTGGGACTTGTTTGTGACTTTGCCAACAGGTCAGTCCGAGGCTTAACCCTATAGAGGCTCCCCACATAGGTACTTAGTAAAATACCTGGAAAGAAATAATTAAAATATTATAGTATTAGAAATTTAGTTATATATCTAAAATTTTCTTACTAACTTTTGGTTTTCATTATTTTTGTTTTATAAAGGAAAAATAATAAACTTTAAAAAATTCTATTAGGATCTGCCATAGAAAATGCTAACATTTTTGTCCAAAAGACAAAAAAGTAAGGCTTTCTTAATAAAATATGGGTTATTCCCAATGAAAATAAATGATTGGCCCGTTGTCAAATGGTTCACCATTAGTGTATGTGTGTGGTGAAAGAGGAAATTTAACCTTATCATTCAGAGGTCTGCTAGAGGCAGGGACTGTCCTCACCTCCCTCCCTCCCTCCCTCTTGTTCTTTATAGACAGCCCTCCCTCCCTCCCTCCCTCCCTCCCCTTTTTCCTTCCTTGTTCATATATCAATCCTCAGCATGGTCCCTGGTTTTTAGTAATGGCTCAAGTGGAAGCTATTATTTAGATTTGTTACTAATACATTTATTTTTACTGCAGTTGTTATACAATGATGTTATTTGTGTCTAATTGATTTTTAGGTAGATTGGGGTCACCTGGACTATTTAGTTGTTGACATGCCACCAGGAACTGGAGATGTGCAGTTATCAGTCTCGCAGAATATTCCCATTTCAGGTAAATCTCAAAGTTTAAAGTGGTTTGTGCTATCTTTGATGCTTTGCTGTTGCCTTATTGAAAAACAAACTTAATGACAAACATTTTTATATCTTAAAAAACATAATCATTTATAAATTTTCCTTTACAGATAAAATTCATAAATAGAATTTTTCAAACTATACTAGAACAGTTACATTTTCAAAAACATGAGACACTTGAAGAGGTGGTGATGTAAATCTGTGCTCTGGAAAAGCAGGAGCACTTAAGTGTTATTTAGGTAGAACATGGCTGTTTGGGGTTCACAGCTCTCTAGCACTTACAGCATAGTGCCCAATACATGGTGGGCACTAAGTAAATATTTATTGAATACCTACTCCTGAATAAGAGTAAATTTTAGGAAAATTTGGATTTGGGGTGAATATAATTATGGGAAAATTTTATATTCTGCTAATTATTTACTAAAATCAAGAGAGCAAAAAACATATTCGCTTACTTCAAATACACAATACTTCATGATAGTAGGGGTTATGTATGATGGAGTTTCAGTATTTGTTGTTAAGTTTTATGTTAAACTAGAAGCCCAGTGCACAAAATTCTGTATGGGTGTGGTCCAGCATCTGGCGTGGAAGGGCAGGTCCCAGCTGACCTCTGGGTCCTGGGCAGCACCTGGGCCCTCGGGTCCCCGCATGCCCTCTGCCTGAGTCACAGCACCTGAATCCCCACGCGGAGATGCAGTGAGCATGGCCGGATGTGGTGGGCCAGGGCACAGTGTGGGCCTTTGGGCTGCCCAGCGGTGCCGCATGGAAGCTGGGCGGGCAGGCAGCGCTCTCTCTCTCTCAGCCAGCCTCGCAGACCGGCTCCTGCGTGGACCCACGGGGAGCCAGACTGGCCCCTGCGGTCCCCATGGTTGTGGCCCAGCTCACCCGGAAGCCCATTGGAGCCAGCAGCACCTCCACTGCTGCCCGCTGCCAGCACCGTGTCACCGAGGCCCGTCATGTCTCTGGTGGTCAGTGCACGTCATAGCAAGTGGTCAAACTCCTGGTGGACCTCCCAGTCGAGGGGACAGTTTGCATATTAGGCTTTTATTATATAGGATCTGTTTCTAAGTGAATCCTAGATTCCGCTGAAGAAATATTTGTTAATCTCACTTATATATAAGGACTTTGGGGAAAATAAGGGATATTTAAGTGTCTTTGCAAGTTAGTTACTTATTGGTAATAAATAACCAAAAGATATCACTAACATTTAATCATCAGAAGGTTTAGAATCTGTGTTTTTGATAAAATATACACATTGTTTGAAAATATCAAATAGCATATTAATATGAATATTTTTTATGTTTAAATATATTTGTAATCTAATGGAGCCTGAGACTTTTCCTTTAGTGAGGCAAGCTATAAAGTATAAGATGGAAGTAAAGTGAAGTAACAGGAAAATAATCCTTCCTCTTTATTCTCAGCATCTAAATAGCCTGCTTTTTCTTTTTTAAAGAAGTTTTGAGACATCTTTCTCAATCTTAAGAATATTCACTAAACGTTTATTGAATAAAATGTGTTTCTGACATGTTGAAGTGCTTACTGCAGGTGTCCCAAATGCTTACATTATTCAAGTGAATAATACATTGATAAAATTGGACTAAATTATCATTTATTTCCTGCATTGTGACTTGGTACCTTGCAAAAGTTTAATTTGCTTCACACAGGTAAACTGAAGTCCCTGAGCAATTTACCTTTGTTCATTCAGATAAAAACTCTTCTGTTTGAACAGGATGAATGATTGTATCACCCTGTTTTAATTTGTACTTATACTCTAAAGCCAACAATGTGTAGATTGGGGTTAAGATTGTCTCTCCTTTGAGGATTTCTTTTTTATATCCTAAAACTTTCTGATCAAAATAAATTTGTCTATGAATATTGCTAAACCTGTGCACCTCTATATGCTGAGTTTCCAACCAACGGTCTGTAGCGGTGTTTACTATATTCAGGTTTTGGGGGGGTTTTGACTCTTAAGAGATTCCTTTGAGCCTCTTTAACTCATACATTCTAGGGAAGGTCTTGAGGTGGTCTGGAAGCAATCTCCTTTGACATTTAGGAGTAGAGCCCCAAATGATTCTTGGAAAGACTAATATTATCTTTGGGCTGATCATACTGGTCTTGGCCATCTGGCTAGTTTCCAGGCACACTGGTTCTCAGTATAGAATTGCAGCTGTTAGTACACTCATACTAAGTTTTTATGCCAATATTAAAATTAATGTCAACAGAAAGACTAGATTTTCTAAAGTGATCTATGTGTTAATTTTATAATTAGAAAAAAATAGTAAAAAATAAAAGTATCTTACCAAAATGTATGTGAGCGGGAATTAGTGGGGGGGCAGGGGGGAGGTGGATGTGATTGTGTGTATATGTTTGTTAAAGGCTTAGTTCGTGAGGTTAGGTTTTATTCAGACCAATGTCATTTCACAGCTAACACATCTAGGAACATACCAAAATTGAGCCAATTCCCATGACCTAGAGGGAAGGGTACCAACCAAATAATTTCTGACCTGATTTGAATTATGGCTTTTATTAGTTTATATAATCTGGAACAGCCTATCAGAATCATGTTGCCTTTCTAGGCCAAAGTGAATTATCTACTCTCTAATTATGAACCTAATTTTCCTTGCCTCTTATCATTGACTTCAGAATTCTTCTTGGTACTCTTATGTTCTACCTTTTTTTATGTCCCATATATCATAAACCACATAAGTTTTTTAGACTCACATTTGAGTCCCCCTTGGTTTGACTTCCCTGTCCTTCCCACTACACTTTCACATAACCTGGGATTCCTCCTCCAAAATCTTATGTACTTACTGCCCCCTCTCTCTTCCTTTTACTTTGCCATCTTAGTTCCTCTAAAGTCTTAGTTCCTGTAAAGTCTTTGTCTTTACAGACATTTCACTCTCACTTAGAATGTCTTTCTTCCCCAGTCAATGGGCACCCAAATCCTGCATACCTTTTATTTCAAATGTCTACTCCTTGCCGTGTTCCCCCCCCCCTCCCCCAATTAGGAATCATTTCTTCCTCCTTGAAATTCACATAGGATTTTATTTGGACCATCTCATGTTCTCCACTCAAAACCTGCATAACTGTTATCTTCTGTACCAGACTTTACTCCCTAGAGTGCCAAATCTCTGTTTCAATCATTTTTTGTATTTCTCACAGTGTCAAACTCAGTGTCTTCCTGTAACCACTCAGGAAATGTTTGATCAATGAGTGTTTTATCTGTGTGTGTTATCTTCCCAACTAGGCTGTAAGCTGCTTGAATGCAAAATTTTTTTCCTATTTATTATAGTATTTCTTAGAGTACTTTGGGGTATGGGTTATGGAGTTGATACTGGTTGAATAAATGACAAAGCTAATTGACTAGTTATCACAGTTCATCTGTTCATCCCGCGTAATTTTATTTTATTTTTACAAAAGCAAATGCAATTTGATTATTATACACAGGAAAATAAATCACATTTAAGCACAAACATAAAAACAACAGACTCATTTCTCATCTTCAAGCTGTTTCTTTTCACTGGTTTCTTCCATATCAAAAGTGAATGGTTTGTCATAACCCATTAGATGGTCATAGTCTTTGGGGTTTGGAAAGAGACCTGGATTAACTAACAGTGATTTTGTTTTAGCATAAAATGTGGTAAACAGATGTGCGCTGTTTGGAATCTTCACATCATTCTGGTGAAACACAGTACTGGTTTCTGAAAGCAAAACATTGTAAGTAATGGCTTTGTAAGTGTCTGTCGTGGCCTCATGGTACAACTGAATGACATAGCCTTTTGTAACTAAGTGAAGCAGGACTGGAGTGATCACTGTAAATCTTCCTATGATGCCATAAAATAAGATTTGCAAGGGCAGACTTCCAAATACAACATTATTTTGCGCAAAAGCGTATGGTAGAAATGTAAGGCTGATCGCACTTGTAGAATAAGAGAAACATTTCACACCAAATACTGTTTGGGCCAAATTCCCAGTATAAATCAGTCTTCTGTCTTCTGATTTTTCAACTTGTTTGTGTAAGCATCGAACATAATAATATTGTGTTCCCCCCATAATATTTCTTACCATCCTTCTAACTCATTCCTGGGATCTCTCCAACTCCGACTGCTTTTACCCAGGAGGTTTTTTTTTAAATGTATAGGTTAAATAAAGCATTTATTAAAAACATATATTTTATGTCACTCTCCCTTTGAGAGAAAAATACATTTCAGTTTAGATTTATTTATGCTGTTCTCTTTCCTCTACTATGTACAGTATCTTTGTGGTCAGTTGATACCTTTTAGTATTAACTTTGTTTTGGTTTCTGAGATATTTATGCATGTGGGCACCTGATATGTGGTGTCAGGCAGGCTCTTATTAAATTACTAGTGAGAATCACTAGCATTATTCCATTATAATAGTAAGAAATTCTCTTATTTACTTGAAAGGATGTGTAGCCAGATATTACCTATCTCTCTGACTTTTTATCCTTACCTGTGGAACACCTGGCTATCCCACTGACTTGTGAGGATCAAATGAGAGAATGATTTAACTACATGTAAATGAATGCTATTTTTTTTATAAATATATTTCTTTATTGATTTCAGAGAGGAAGGGAGAAGGAGAGAGATAGAAACATCAATGATGAGGGAGAATCATTGATCGGCTGCTTCCTGAACATCCCCTACTGGGGATCAAGCCTGCAGCCCAGGCATGTACCCTTGGCCGGAATCGAACCTAGGACCCTTCAGTCCACAGGCTGATGCTGTATCCACTGAGCTAAGCCGGCTAGTGCTGAATGCTATTTTTAAGAAACCACTTGAACACTTTAAAAGAGTTTTTTTTGTGTGTGTGTGTGGGGGGGGTGGTGTGATGAAATGCTATGAATTCTATCGACTCTCCATTTATCCAAGCCATGGTGAAAATGAAAATAAATGTTTTATAGTTGGAAAGAGACATCCTTTTTGGAAAATTCATGGAGACAGACCTGTATAAGCAAAA